CGAGGAGAGCTTCGCCGTGGGAGCCCTGGGCAGGGCCCTGGCCGCCGAGCTGGCGAGCTCCGCGCCCGCCCGCAGCCGGCGCAAGGCGGCCCCGCACAGGGCCTCCCTCGTCTTCATCGACCGCGCGCTCGACCTCGCCGGTAAGGACCCGCTGCGCTCCGCGCTCGTCCCGCCCTTATCCTGCCCCTTATCCCCGTGGGCACCAGTCTTGCCTTGGCCTCGGTGGCCCTTCGCGTGTCTTCATCCCACGGCTGGTCGTGGGCACCCAGAGCGAAGTCCCTGCTGGCAGCGGGAGGGTTCACTTCTGCTCCCAGTGCTTCGCTGTTAGCTGGGGACCTTAGTTGTGCCCAAGGGTCAGGCCCGAGGCGTGAAGGAAATGTCCTGTTTATGCTTTGTGGGTTATTATGAACTATGTATGTATCCTGCTTACCACCATTTGCATTATGTCTATGTGAATAGCTATACACCTGTGTATTATGTCTATACAAATAGCTGTATATCTATATACTATGTCTTTATGAATAGCTATGCACCTGCATATGCGCTACCTAGACAGCTCTCTGTGCCTGTATGTGTTGGACTCAGTTGTACTCAATGATCTTGAAGGCTTCTTCCAGCCATAATGATTCTATTCTCTAATTCTGTGTATGCAGACATTTATTATACCTTAGGTATTATACTTGAGGTGCTGTTGAGGTGTGTGGCTGGCACCTTATTTTAACTTGGAAGTGTTATGTTTCAGTGAAAACAATACAGGGTTGTTTATGCAACATCCTTGTGGCAAGCAAATGTGAGTGTGAACCATATGGTTAACTTAATACGATGGATTTATTGAAGTGTGATATGTATTTGTGGTTTGCAGTGTCAAAATAGAGCAGGGTTGTTCAAGTAATAACCAGCTGCAGGTGAGAGTCTTTGAGGTAGACTTCCTCATTTGGGGCTCACTTAAAACAACAGCTTAAATTGCCCCTCTCTGAAGAGGAAAGTTTTGGGATGTGATTTGTAAGTATCTTACTGAGCTGCATCTTGTGCAACATGTGGGTTGTATATAATGGGAAACAGCTCTGTATACATGAGCTACCGTAATGCTTTTGTACTCCAAACACCTGAAAGTGCATTAAGTATAGATGCTGGACTACACTTTAAGTGCTATTTTAAACCAGGTGCCTTTGAAAGATGCAGAAGAGGTTGTTGGGAGGCAAAAGTTTTCTACTCTCTGGAGACCCGGAGAGAGCCCAACTTCAGAGAAGCTCTAGATGATGTCTAAAGGGGACATCAGCTAAAGCTGATGTTAATGGATTTCTGATCCTTTTGTGTTTCCCATGCTTATTTAGCACAGGCTAACAGCTTCAGTGGCACCAATTGTCTTCAGTTGAAAAGGTCAAAATATCTCAGAAATGACTTTTCTGGTGCCACAAGTTGCAAACAAGTCCAACTATAGGAAAATGGTATTTATGATGCCTAAGTGCTAAGACGTTTCCACTTTAAAGAACAAACTGCAGAAGCATTTATAACATTTTTGTTAGGAACCTCCAGTGCCAATTTCAAGAAACTATGTTATCTTTGCTTTGATATTTATCTTAAATAAACAAACAAACAAAAAAGCCCCCCAAAACTAGCAGTGTACAAAATGGCAATTTTTTCTATCCAAAAATCTGAAGGCATTTAAGTGCCTGCCTCTAGGTTCTGCAAACCAAAGAATCTTCTCTGTAGTATCTTTCTAAATTTTCTATTGAACTCTATTGTTTTTTCTTTCCCATCATTGTTATTTCTGTTGCATATTATGGACAGAATGAAAAATTCAAATAATTCTCCCTTTTCTTTTGTATAAGATTTGGATGGACTGTTGCAAGGTTCTTTTAGTGGTCTCCAGTCTTGCATTTACTGTACAGTGCTCTGGGTTTGGCGCAAAGACTGCTTCTTCCTTCAGTGTGGCATAGAGCCTTACAGATAAGGTGCTGCCCTAGAAAGTGAAAGTGTGTTTATCCCATGGATACATCCCAGAATTACCACTCTGACTAGTTCTTCAAATTCGAAGTGTTTAAAACTTTGTGACTAGTGCTGCCCCAAAACTTTGTGGATGTTTAGAACTGCTTTTGTTTGCTTGCTTGTTGTTTTGAAGCTTTTGAAGTTTTTGCTTTGAAAAGCAGAATAAATATTCCCAGCTGGAGTGCTGGTCTAATAAGCTAAGCTGTTTGAGATCCAAGTTAACTTTAGGATCTTAATTCCTTCTCATTTTTCTGCTCAAATATTTGCACCACTCAGTATTTGCACTATGGTATCATATTTTAACTCCCTTTGTACATTTCTGAATCATCACCTTGCCAGCATTCATACCTCTTATAAAGCATTGTTTTTCTGGCTTCTCAGGCTTTCTTTTCATTTGTGAACCTGTTGATACCATTCAGATAATGGTTTCAAGGCATTTGAACAATTGAACTGTTGCAGTCTCTGGATACTTTGCAGGAATTGGGATATAGGCTCTTGTAAGCACAAGAAATAGCGCTCTGTTTGCTGGGTGCCTGCAGCTGGCTTGGAAATGGGTTTTAATAATGAAGAAAAGAATGAATATCGGGGAGAGAGTGGTGCCTGTGTAACTACGGGGAGATTTATAGTTTTGAGTGATACTCTTGTATAAATGTCATGAAAATTGGTCTAGAATTGATATTTCTCTGCCTTCAGCAGTAGCACTTCTATATTCCATTGGCATTATTGGTTGTGTGGGTCTGAACTGCAGGAACTTTTGTCCATAGCCATGCAATATTGCAAACTCAGGTTTAACTTTCTGCATCATCTTCCTTACTACCATCCAGGCATCTTCGTCTCCTCACACTCTTGCACTGGGTGCAATATTTTCAGCCTTTTAGCAGGTAGAGTAGATACTGTTCCCTTTCAGTTCCTTGGAGCAGACAAGAGAGTAGGGACTGGACTCTTTTTGTCCTACCACATATGCTATACATAGAGAAGGATAAGTCTGAAAATCAATAAAGACCTATGTCTTGTAAAGCCTAGTTCTGATCAATTCTTTTTCAGGCTATTTTTGCTTAAAATTATTAGTTTGTACTTGTCTGTAATAACTTTTTTTTTTCCTCTTACATTCTGTCATGTTTTAATTGTGTCTGCTTTATTCAAGTTCTTTGTAATCCATGCAGAATCTTTTAAATTGAAGCCACTGATGGATTGACACTACTATGGTGTTTTTTCTTAATGAAAAAAAAAATTTAAAGCTTCAGTAAATGGCATATCATGAGGTCTTGAAGACATAAATTCTGAGGACTATATAATTCAGTAGTCTTCTATTTATGAACAAGACTGGATTTTTGACGCAGAAGCCAACCAATGTTTAAACTAATGAGGATGTAGACATCAGGTGTAAGGACTGATAGAAATCAGAAGTTTTCAGGTGGTGTAAGCGCTGCTGTGGGTCAGGGTGCAGGCTCTGCAGTGAGGTGCCTTGCAAAGATTCTGTTTCTATGCAGCAGATCCACAATTTTTATAGTAGCTTTTAAAACGCTTAAGATGTTAAATTTGTGACAGCAGCTTCAGAGAGAAGCAAACTAACAGAATTGGGTTTGCGTATTAGAAGAAAACGTGGAGTGGTTATGTGACTGAAAGGGACATGGAAATGACATGAACCTTAAGCAGATGCTTAAGTGTTTCTTATCTCCACATTTACTACTCTTTACACGTCCTAGCTTGCTGCCTGTGGAAGATGGGGACCTTATCTTAGGTTTTTATGGCAGCATTCTTGTGCTGCTGCGCTCTGCTATGCACTACCAGCTGCTCTTACAGGGCTATAGGGTTTTTCTCTCAGCTTCGATAGCCAGCCTGTTGACTCCTTTGTTGGTCCCTTGTCCAAAGCTGAATATGGATCTGTATTTTGGCAAGGTAAGAAGATGTTCTGGTGATCTTTGAGTGCCTTCACAGTGGTTCCTGAAAGCACAAAGGCTGTTTTGCAGCACCGTTCTAAGAGATCGGTTTGAGCAAATTCTTGATGAAAAGCATTGCTAATCTTTGGTACTCGTTCTCCAAATATCCAGCTTTCTCCAGGGGAAATAAATGTAAACATTTCTGCTGTCTGATATTTAAAACCCTATTCTCACTAGGATGATGCAGTGCCCAAGAAGATTGTATCGTAGGAGTAGTAGTTCCATAAAGAGTTCTGTAATGTAAGGTGTTCCTAGTGATGATCTTATTCACCAAAGTATTAGGAGAGTGCAGTATGGAAATGTGGTGAAAACTGAGATGAGTTTGTCTCCACGTGTTTCCAAGACCTAGTCCTGTGCTAATCCTCCACGAAGCAGTAGGTGTTAAGACTTGATAGTATGAATAAGAAACATGTTGCATGCTGTTTTGGTTCGTTTTCATTACTGTTAAGCTATTTACCAATTTATAGAATTCAAAGTTTGACTGACAGAGGTCAGGACAGACAGAGACTTGCGTTATTTTAGCAATTTCATGTTGGATTTGCTTACCTGTGCTGCGTCAGGCCACATAGGAGAGATGACCTTGGCAATGGCACATTGCTATGACTTTAATATTTTGCCAGCCTATCTGGGTAGCTATGTAGGTAACTTGCATACAGCCCTTTTAAGCACAGTCATTTCATGTCTTATTATTTTAGATAGAAGAGTATAGTGTGTATGTGTCTGTACATATGCACATAAATATATGTGTGTCTATATATTTATATATACACACAGAGAGATAAAAGTCAAACTTTTTTGCCTATTTTTTAAATATCTGCTGTAAATTTCATTTAACAACTTTCTTATGCATTTTGCATATTTAAGGTACCATATCAGGGAATGTCTAACTGCTATAAGACTAAGCTTAAATTATGCTTTTTAAACAAATCCTTCTGGAAAGATATCAATGGTTTTAACTTCAGACATTCCGATGCTTAATTTTTCTAGCAAAATGTCTTTGAAAGGCTAAATGTCATCTTGGTGTTATGGCTAACAGTCTCATTCTCCCCAAAACATATGGTTATTGTTTTGCTCTCAATTCCTTGTGCTTTTTTCTCCTTGTTTCTCAAAAATATCTACCCGATATTTTGTTTTAAATCTTTTCCAGGAGCAGTTGGTCATCACGGTGACAACCTTGCAGAGAAGATACTTTCTGTGCTTCCCAAGCTCCCTGACCACAAGACTGATGTGATGGTCAACATGGTGGAACTCACTGCACTGCAGACTCCAGATGAAATGTGCAGTGTTATAGCACCTGGCTGCTTAGCACAACCAAAGTAAACATTCTTTTTTCTTCATTTTTTAACATATTGACTATGTTTGTTATTTTGGCATGAAAAAAAAAGGAACAAAGAACAAGTCTTTTTTGGGGGAAAAAAGGAAGTGTACAGGATAAACCCATCTGGTCTTAATTACTCTGAAATATAATCAGTTAGTATATGTGTGCTAAGTGATTGAGCCAGATAAAACCCCTGAAAGTAGAGAATCTCAACTCTTTTTTTTTTTTTTAGGATTTGTATTGTTTAAACTGGTGTAGATTGTTGTAATAGAAATCAGCACAGTTAAACCCCAGAACTTTCATGTGATCCTTTTTTTTCCTGTCTCAATAAGAGGCAGGTCTTAAGCGTGGCTTTCTGCTCTTACAAGCCACCTCATAAAGTGAGCTGCTTGCTGAGCTCTTGTTAAGAGTACCTTCTGACTTGAGGTTTTATCCCAGTTTTCAAATGTGGCCTCTGTGGTGGAAGGTAAGTTGGCATAAATTGAGGTATATGGACAACTGCATGAGGTTCTCTGATTTTTTTTACTTTTTGTTTGTTTGTTTAGCGAGCGCATTTTATGTCAGTAAGTCTGAACAATTATACTTGGCTCTGTATAACTTGCAACTATAACTTTGCTTGTAAAGTACAGGAGATTTGATATTTCAACTTCTAGTTTCCAAGCATCCGATTTGATGTTTAAATTTCTAGTTTCCAAGCTATCTGAACTGAAAATTTCCCAAAGCTTCTGTAACAGAAAATACACCAGGTGCGGGTTTCGCACTGCAAGAAAAACTCTTGTTTAGCAGAGTGCTATAGAAATTCATATGGTGCAAATGAGGTGAAAATGTCTCTTTGTGCCATAATGTTCCTTCCATGTATTAGAACATATTTTTTTTTTTCAAAATGGGATACCTAATGTTGTGGTTATTCTTCTGGTTTGATGACTTCTGGGGTTTCATACCTGCTTCCCGCCCTCTCCCTCCTCCCATTCTCTCCTCTGTTCCTTCCCACACATCTTCACCTGGGGGAGGTGGAAAAAGCGGGGCCAGGCAGAAAACTTCTGTCTGTTCTAACATCCAGTCTTTAGTATATGAGAGCCTTATGATTATTTGTCATTTGTCATCTTCCACACATGCTGTAACTAGGTCCAGTGTCTAAGTTTCACCTTGAATAACAGTCTGTGCTCTCAGGAGATGGAGAGGAAACATTCCTTTCATATAGATGGACTCAAATGAAAGTTAGTGCCAGGGTGACTAACTTTAAGTAAGTTATGGTTTTCATTTTATTGGCTGTGTTCCAGCTGATCACTGCAGAAGAAATGCCATGTCCTCAAGGTCTGTCTACACAGCAAATTGAAGATCTTGTTGCTTTTTGTGCTAGCTGTAATTAGCTACCAAAATAAGTAACATTTATGGCAGCATGGACTAGAGGGGAAGAAAGGTATTTAATGCGCAAAGATTGGTGACTTTTGCTACCACTTCATTGTCCCTAACATTATTGACACCGAGATTACGTAATTGCTAGTGTACCTTCCTCCGTTAGGCTTCAATCTTCTCAGCCACATTTCTAGGAATAGGCTGTAGAGTTTTCATGTTGTAAAGTGGCTAATGGTAAATACCTTGAGGTTTATTTTACTAATGGAAGTTGTTTTTTTACTAGTATGGTTAGTTATTTGTTTTGCAAAATTTCTCACGAGCAAGCGTTGTTAAAGAAGGGATGCTGGTTACGGGATGCTGGTTACAGGATGCTCGGCTGCTATTTTGCAAGTGCAGCCAAGTAGGATGGTAGTAATGCGTGCCAGCTGGCTCTCTGGCAGCAAGGCCACGTTCCTGTAACAGCCTCCCTGTGCAGTGTCATCTTGCTGCATCTATCACTGGCAGGCTGAGAACACGTTAGGCAAACAGCAGTCGTGAGTGACTGCACAAGAGGTCTTGCCTGGGAGCAGAGCAAATGGACTGGATGACCTCTCACCATCTCTTTTATGATAATATTTCTCCATGTTGGTGGCAGCTGAAGGAGTATCCCATGCCCGAGAAGACAGTCTCCACACCAAAATGTGGTTCCACAGTCTTCACCTGTGTCTTTTCATTTTCCCCTCTAATTATGAAATGACTAGAAATAGTTTCTAATTTAAAATAGGCATTCCAAGCTCTGTTAAGACAGTTCCTTAGGAATACCAGAATCCATGACAGTGTCTGAATGGGTGGCTGAAGACTGTAGCTTCCATTCCATTTAAGACTGTTCTTAGTGTTGGATTATGAACGTGAATATTAATAGTCTTGACTAGTATAAAATTTAAAATTTCCACCAATGAGCTTCTGTGTCAACGATGCCCTCGGTTCTTTGTGAACTTGGTTATTGCCGTTGGTAGCAGGCTTGGGAGTGTGCGTTGCGAAAAGGTAAGCCCTGATTTATATTTGTAGATGATGTGTGGCAATGAGTATTCCTGTGCTTGTAAATTTTTCTAGTAAGTGAAAGTGATACCTTTTCTAAGGAAAGAACTAGTAACTTAATTTGCAGCCAAGTGAAATGTGCGTGGGGGGCTCTTCTACATGGTACTTTGTGATCAGAGAAGCCACGTGTTGTGGCATTTCACAAACAGACTCACATATTCGGAATATTTTTCAAATGCTTTTGTTTTTTTTCTCTCAAGTTAATATTTGAGCCTATTGTGGTGGAGGAACAACTCCGCTCTCTCCACACAGCTTGCTATATTTAGCTTTTCTTATGGAATGCCTCTGCAACAGAAACATCTGGGCTCGGTTACAGAGTTAGCATATAGAATTAATGTATAATTTATGGCTGGTGTGGTGAAATAAAGCAGGGTTCTTTCCTTAAACCTAAGGAAATAATGGGCTGCTTTAAAGATTTAGATGAAAATGTATATGCCATATGCTGCTTAGGTTACTGTACTTTGAAGGTGCTCTCTTCACGAAGAAAAGAATTTCTAAACAAAAACTTTCAACCTATTCTAGATTTCTTAGCTTTGTTAGTATTAGTAGACTCAAAAATCTCGTGGAGCAGTTGTTTACCCTGCTATAATCATTGACATATTGCTGCTCCAGTGTGAATGTTAGTTGAGAATAATGTTCTTTCAGAATTAAATTTCCAAGTATTGTATTCGTTTTCATATATAGATGTGTGTGTGTATATATACAAATATACATAATGAAATGGTTTATAGACATAAAACAAAGACATATACTGTAAGCCAGAACTGTCTGTTTCTGATTAAAAATCATGATAGCCATCCTGTCCTTTCAAAAAAGTGATGCAAAATAGGAGTGGAGATTGTGAAAGCTTAAAGTGGAGGTAATATAATAAGTTTATGTTGATTGCAGCTGTCTTTGCGTTTTGCTAACCCAATAGTATTAGAAGGAATGTTTCATTTTTAACAATTTCAGCTGAACTGCTACTTTTAAGGGCACACTAAGCGGCTTAGCGTATTAGCGATTGTCTGCTAGGCCGCACATCGAGCTGTGCGTGGCCGTGCCCCATGCGGCCTGTTCTCAGAGGTACTTGTGGGCTCCGTTTCTGCCGCCCCCACGCTGCATGCTCGGGGGTCACGCTGTCACGCAGAAGGGCCTGCAGCGGGGGCCGTGCTGAGCCCCGGGCTGGCCCGCGTGGTGCCGCTCCTGCCGCGTCGTGCGCGGCT